TTTTGCAATTCATAAAACCCACAAAGTCATCCTTAACTTCTCTCAGTAGAACCACTTCAAATTCCAGGTAGGTGCCGTCCAAATTCTCTAAGAATATCTAGCTCATCATATTAGCATTGAAGTGAAATGTATAATTTTAAGTAAAACTGATTTTTTTCCAGAGAATGCAAATCTCAGGACTATTGAGAGACTCTTAGTTTATAGTACAGATTATAGATAATTACAAGGAAAGCAACTAGCATAACACAGGTTTTTCTACATCCTAGTGAATTTCCCAAGGTGCACGTGGTAGTTTGTGGTTGACTGTCAAGTGTACTTTTTCTGCCACTTTCTCTCTTTTGATATGAGATCCAGGAATTTTGTTATAAATGTGTAATACAGATGTGATTCTTTTGGGAATGATGAATCAGGCCTGAGGCTCAAGAAGAAACAGTGTTTATTTTTCCAGGATTGCTATGCAAACATTGCTAAAAGAAGCTCTATTTCTGCTAGGACTGTAATGCTGAGTGATGCGGCGGCTGACCAGATCCTGGTTCTGGTCTTTTGCCCTGAAAACTGTAGCAGTTCTTTAGATCTTGAGAGCCACTGTGAGATCCCCCAACCAACAGAACCAGCATAATTCTCTTTATTGTGCAAGTTAATTGAAGTTCAAACATCTTAACCACTATATTCATTGTGCTAGTAAATAAAAGGGGTGATTATTTTAATAAATTTTAAATAAAATATAATAAATTTTTTGAATGTGAGCCTTTCCTGTGTTTGGAAAATTGAAAATGATTGTCTCAGAGACTCAGTTCAAGCCCAGAACTGATAAGTTGGTAGTATAGGAACTTGTCATGATTGGAATTGGAGAGGAAAGGATGCTACACATAAATAGTTCAAGAAATTATTTAAAACTATTTCATTGTTCAAGTCTGAAGAAGAAAAATAATACTGTAAGGTTGTATCATAGATACATTTACACTGATGCAGACATGCCTATTTGTCCACTCCTTCCTTCTTCATACACACCAGTAATTAAAAAGGAAGAAAGAAAGAAAATAAAAGGAGGGGAAGACGGAGGGAGAAAGTAAGTGAGAGTGCAAGATTGATCAAATCATTTTAGTTGTCTGTGTATGTGTGTGAAGACCCTCCACCCAAGAAGAGAAAATCCAGAGAAAAGCAAGGTATGGTTAATCTAGGCAATTTTACAGTCCCTGAGCTTTTTATCCTATCATTCTTCTGTCTGTCCATTCCCTCCTTTTTAATGTAATACAATACACTCTGATGTTTATTTTTCATATTTGAAGATATTATCAAGCAAGGTTGCCTTCTTTAAACTGAACATAGGATAGTAATGAATTATCGAGGGTAATTTTGACTTTACCTATTGGGTTAATTATAAACATAAATATTCTATAAAATATGACTTCAATATTTCTAAAGCTGTTCAGTTTTCCAAGTTCATGCTAAAAGAAGCACAAAGAAGGAAAGGAAGGGAAGTAAGGAGTATAGGAAAGAAATGTTTTTCGTGAGCCTACACACGTTTTTTATCAACACAATGTTTGTATAATTTTATGAGTACACTATAATAATTTGTTTTGTTTTTTTGTTTTTTGGTTCTGGGGATCAAACTCAGTACCTTGCGCTTGCGAGGCAGGTGGCAGCCCAACTGAGCTAAATCCTTAGCCCTACACTGTAATAATTTGATAAATATATATAATGTATAATGATCATATCAGCACATTTCACATTTCATCAAACACTAGTTGTTTCTGTGTGTTGAGAAATTTTGTATTTTCTTTTCTGGTTATTTTGAAATATGTCATAGATAATCATAGAGTGTATTTGCCCTACTATGGTATAGAATAGCAAAACTAATTTTTTCTCTCTGGTATTTGGACATCTGATCTGACCTCTCTGTTATCATTTGTGTCAAGCTGGATAGGATGGTAGATCGTCATGTTAATTGAAATTTGCCATGTGCTAGTTTTTAACACTGTGACGAAATAACTGAGAATCCATTTAATAAGGAATAGGGTTTATTTTGACTGATGATTCTTGGGGTTTCAGTCCATGGTGGCTTGGTCCTGTTGCTTTAGTAGCATAGTAGATCATGTCAGGAAAAGGTGGTGGAGGGAGATATTGCACTAAGATGATCTGGAAGCAAACAGAGCGGGACTGGGCTGTGGTTCCAGTATCCCCTTCAGGCCTACTCCCCTGACCTAACTTCTTTCCATCAGGATCTATCTCCCAGTAGAGCCACAGGCTGGCCCCCAAACATTTAATACATGGGGACATGACTGATCCAAACTGTAGCAAAGGTAAACATTGCATATTAGGAGGCATTTGAGGAAACTATAAAACTGATCTCATAAAAAAGAGAATAAAATAGTGGTCCCTGGACACTGGGAATGGGGGAGAGGTCACACCCATTTTGTAAAAATTTACCAGCTCACTGCACTGCAGGAGGACTTGCTGTGTGCTCTTTTACCAAATTCTGGTCTATCAGGAAGACATCTCAGTTGAGGAATATTTAGTTATGGAAGGCTTATTTGGAGGTCTCTAATGCTTAATAAGTGTTCACATTAAAGAAGAAATTGTAGCTTTTTCCTGATGATCCCCCTAACATGTTTGTTTATCAATGAAAGGCATGAATAAATAAATTGGTTTTAATTTGTATTGCTTAAACCTACCCTACATTGATAATTTGTCTAAAATGCTAAATTTTTTTGAGCTAAATGAACTTTGGATAAAGATTCTGATGAAATACAGGCATGGCCAATAATCTATATAATGCTTTTAAAAAACACATTACAGAAAATTTCAAACATTCTCTAATGAAGATGGTAAAATTACTCCTTGTGATGACAGTATATAACTTCAACAACTGAAAGCATTGCTCCAGGAGAGGGAAATAAGTAGAAAAATGGAGCACCCAGCAAGTAGGAGACATGGTTGATGTTTTTAACAGTAAAAAATATAGCTTTTGAGAGTAAAATAAAGCTTTGATCTCATGATCATGTATAATAGGCCTAATGAGAATCACAGTAATTACAGATTATTTAGTCAATATTTGACAGTATTCATGAGCACAGTCTAAATCAAGATAAGACTAGAGACTAAGGTTCTATGCCCTGTGCTTGATGATGAGGATAAAAGTGAATCTCTTAGGACTGACTGACCTAATTTATATGACTATTTTGTTACTGAACTCAGAGAATACCAGTTATTAATGATGGACTATCACAGGAAAGGTGCATTCGTTATTTTCCACACACTGATACAAAATATATGACACCCCCAATTTAAAAGAGAAGAGGTTTTATTTTGGCTCTTGGTTTCACCTCTGAGGAAGAGACATCATGGCAGAAGGATCTGATGGAGGAAAGCTGATCATGGCAGCCTGGAAGCAGAGCAGGTTAGAAGGAGCCACAGAGGAAGGGGTCAGTGACCAGGTGGAGTTTCCAAGGTCATGACCCCACGATCCCCTTCCTGCAAGTAGGCCCTACCTGCTAATAGCCCATTCAGCTACGAAGTCATCAATGTGGGAACCCATCAGTGAGGTCAGTGCCCTCACAAATCACCTCTCCATGAGACTCTTAATCCAGTCAAGTTGACATTAAGATTAACTAGCACAAAAGGGAACAGAACAGTAAAAGTTAAGATGTTGCTTCTATAGTTCTTTTCCTCTGTGCTTTTCCAGGTTTTTCTCTATTGTTTCTCACCTTTTCAAGCTTGAATTGAAATTTTGAGTTGTATTAGAGAGTCTGACTTTAAAAGATTTTACTTAAACTCATCTGTGCCAGTTTTCAATTTGAAAGTCTAAAAGATAGGTCTTAAGATATAATAAATGAGTAAAATTATAGGTTGGAGTTTGGACATATGGCTCTTGGACATAGAGTCTGCAGATGGCATCGAAGTAGACAATAAATGTGTACTCTAGAATTTTTCATCATCTATACTTCTTTTTTTGGGGGGGAGGTTCTGGGGATCGAACTTGGGTCCTTCCACTTGCGAGGCAGGCACCAGAACCATTGGGCTAAATCTATACTTCTTGATGTATGCAGTTCACTCTCTGTTCGATACTTCTTACTTGAGACACTTGTGCTCATGTCTTTGACTAATCAAACTCAAAGAATGTTCTGCAGTGAGGGAGTTATGATCCTATAAATGACTTTATGTTGGCATAGAGACACAACCAGTATAAGTTAGTAAAAAGACACAGCCAGGAATTCTGGCTGACTTAGCCTATGTGAAAGTCCTTTGGAAAATTAGATCTTTATGTCCTCTCCACATTTTATATTATGATTTTAAAAATAATAATATTTTACTATTTATTAAGGAGCTACATGCCAGGCACTATTCCAAGTGTTTTATATTTAATAATATAGTCAATATTCACACCAATCCCACATGTACAACATTATTATCTCCCTCCTTTGTACAGATAACAGAAGATTTCTGAAACACAGAAGTATTAAGTGTGTAGTTTCCCACAAGCCCAGAACTAGTAAGTGGCTACATAGAGAACCGTGCTCATGTGTTCTTTCCCATTGTCTTATACAAACACAAAGCAACAATACAGGAAGAAGTAAATAATCATAAGCTTAAAATACTTCCAATTAGTAGTTTTTAAAAGCTATTTATAAATATCTCCATTAGTTTCTAATTGTTTTAAAATTCAAGGTAACAGGAAGGGAAACCAAAATATTACAGGCAAAAATCCATGGCTTTCTCTTTTTTGGTGATGATAGTAGTATTTTATTTTAGGACTTATAAAAGCTGATCTTAAAAACAGCTATGAGAACAATTTCGAAAAATCAAAACATTTAAATGAACAAAAATTCAAATTATTCTTCCTTTAGCTTATTTCAAAAAAAATAAAGAGTTCCAAGGAAGTTTTCCCGGGGGGGGAGAAAAAAACAACACTGAAGCTCAAACCAGGTGAAGTAGACTTTGTCACCAGAAAGAAGGTTAAGAGAGACAAACATTTACTGTGCCAGATGGCGGCAGAAGCGGAAGCTCTGCTCACCAGTGCTGGGATTGACCAGGCGAGCATAAGCTGCAGAACTGACCCCTCTCTCCTGAGGGCCTCAACCAGGAAACACACATAGGCTCACTTTGGCTCTCTCAGCCTTCAGAGGAGACAGTCGTAAGGTATGTTTGATACCATTTACCAGGGACTAGACTTTGTTGACTCCGCGAAGCTGCCTGAAAGCTGGGATCTTTTGGCTAGTCTTTGGAAGGTTCATTGCTGTCCAGTGAGCTACTCCGAATATTAGGTGCTTCATAAAACCACCATTATACTCTATTTCAGGATTTTACAAATCACAAATTTGGTCAGGGCCCAGTTGGACAGGACATCATATGACATCAACGGGGGGGGGGCGGGGGGCACACAGCGATATTCATTTGCTTGCTGTGTTGATGTGGAGGACCCTAAGTAAGTCTGCTCAACAGCCTGGGGTGGGGGCCTCTCTTCCTCCCTAGGGAGTGTCAGGTCTCTCCACCTGGTCTCTGCAGCATAACATGCAGACCAACTTCCAGTAAGGTAGATTAGCGCCCTCACAGCAGATGTTTCAAGAGGCAGGAGATGAAAGCTGTCAGGAGTTTAAGGCTTTAGCCTCAAACTTGTCATAACACCTCTCTGTTATGTTCTGTTGCTCAAAGAAGTCATGACCTCCTTTTCTCTCGCCAAGATGAACTGACAGAGAGATTAAGCCCTTCTTTAATCTCTGGATCCAAAAGACTTGTGACTATCTTTAACCTGTCACACTATTTTTTCTTCTTTCATTTCTTTGTCCTAGATTATTTACTTATTTATTGTCTTTTAAAAATGTGTATCACCTTAAAAAACTACCTGCTCTAAAATCCTTGTCTGTATTTTTCTTTTTGGGGGGAGGGGATTAGGTAGAGTGGGGAACCCCAGAAAAATTTTATATTTTCCCCAAAGAGGCACTTTTTATTGACAATATTTGCTTTGATTCTTGTAATACTGTGGTAAAACAGCTTTTACTACATCTTAGTAATGAAATAAATCATGAGAGATGTTAGCTGCTTTGTTTAATGAAACTATGAAGATTTTCAAACTCTAGTTCCAGTGCTTTTACCTCTGTACCTACAAATGAGACAAAGGAGAATAAACCTGAAAAAATTCATTTAGTTAAAAAGCAAGATTGAAATGTAAATTCCAAGCAGGACAGTATCGTATTTTCGTTTTGTTCTGTTTTGGCTTTCTTTTTCAACTGATACATTTAACTCAATGCAAGAAACTTTCTTTTCTGATAATTTATCAAATGATTCTAACAGTCAGCAGGAATTCAAAGGACTTGCTAACTGGTTTACTTGACCACAAGTCAATAAGTGCCTCATCATGCTTGATTTGCCCAGGTGGGAGAGATTGACTGTGCTGCTCACTTCCCCCGTTTCAGGAATGGAGCTGTCCACATTCACTGCTCTTAACTCTCACGTCATAGATATTATCCACACTTTTTACATGATGTGAAGCGCAGGCTTCAACCTAAGGTAGCAGTCAGGGATTTTAACGCAATCTTCCTGGCCATGCCACGGAGCAGACAGATTCAGCTGCACTTTACTCTTTCCAATAAGAGGAAAATTCTTAGTGGCGATTTCCCTGTGGGGGGAGTGAATTGCAAGCCCTGGGATACCATGAGATTCTTTCGCACTGCAACTAGTAGTTTTAGTGCCCCGCTGGGGAAGTTGAAACAATTTTCTCCTGCATGATAGGTCCCTAGATTTTATTATTATTTTTAAACAACTCCTATTGAAGTCAAGTTTGACCTACTCCTGATATGATTGCTTTTCGACTTCATGTTTTCTGTGGCTGCCTTCACTTTTGCCTATACGGTCTTACAAATTGCTGGCTTTTATTTTTAAGGACTCGCAATCTGTCTCTTCTTGCTCTTTGTCTTGTGTTTATTTTGCTTCAAGTATTTTATTAACCTTAACAGTTTGGACAAATACAGTTGATGAAAAAAAAATCTACAAAAGAAGAACATCATACATTTTCTAACCTGATGTTATTTTAAAAAATTGTTGCTAATATTATAGATAGAAAAATGTGTATCATTCCTTTAAATTTATCAATTACCAGTGAAACTAAAAATCTGTTTACTTTCCAATTCTTCTTCTTTCTTGAATTGCATTAGTTTGTTGATATTCTAACATTAAGTTGTAAAATGTCTGATGTATATTAAACACTTGTATTTTGGTTGATATAAGTGTAAACTTTTCTTATAATCTGTAATTTGCCTTTTAGTATTGTTTATGTTACATCTCATCATTCAGAAATTTAAAATATTTATGGATTCAAGTTTAGTAATATTTTCTTGTTCTTACATTAAGAACTCATTTAATGAACTAATTAAGGTATTTATTTTCTGGTGTGTGTGTGTATCTTATAACAACATTTTCCTTTTCAGTACGGATATTTGCATATATAAATCATTCAAAACACTGCTTCATCTGGTCTCACAAATTTTGATATTTTGTATTTTCATTATGAATTTACAGTTTCTGTTGGGGTTTCTAAGTTTATCTGGGACTTATTTAGAAGCATTTTTATTTTCAAATGTTAAATTCTATCAGGACAGAATAATTATCTTGCATGATTTTAATTCTTCTAAATGTATTGAAGTTTGTTTTATGATTTAGTGTGTTATCTCTCTAGATGGATGTGCTTAGGGACACTTAAAAAAACTTTATATTCTGCGATTGTGGAATATAATTTTCTATAAAAACCAATTTATCAATTAGTTCAAGATGGTGATGGTATTTCCTTGGTCTTTGTCTTTACTGATGTGTTTATTTTTTATTTTGTTTACTCATTCTATCAATTGCTGAGAGAGGGATGAAAAAATCTATGGTGTTTGCAGAATGACTTATTTCTCACATTAACTGTTAATTTGTGTATTAGGAATTTTGAAGAACTATTATTTGGCATATAGACATTTATGGTTGTTATATTTTCCTGATGAATTAACTTTTATCATGAATTTATCTTTTTTATCTCTGGTATAATATTTGTTAAGCCTATTTTATCTGATATTATTATAATCACTCTAGAATTCATATGCATCCACTTGCATTTGTACAATTTTCCATTCATATACTTTTACTTAACCTACATTGTTTTATTTAAAGTTTGCCTCATGTAGGCAACATAGAGTTGAATCTTGTTTTCTGTTTTCATTCTGTTAATCCTTGTCTTTTAGTTAGAGTGACTAGACCATTTAAAATTGAATGTAAATGCTGTTTGTAACCATATGAGTTTAGTTAGCTACTTATTCTTCCTTATTGTTTGTTCCTCTGTTTTTGTTTCTCTGTTGCTTTTTTCCTGCCTACTGGGTAGTCAAGTATTTTTAAGGCTTTTTAACTTTAGCTATAGCTCTCAAATTATTTCTTCGTGTATGCTCTGAGTTATGCATATATATGTATATTTTAAATTTTTTCCCAATCCTAATGCAGTTAACATTGTGCCACTTTTTATATAATTGTAAAAAGCTTACAACCATATGGACCTATTTTTTCCACCTTCAACATAAACATATACATATATATATATTTATAGTGAAATATAAAGCGTCTATAATATAATAAACTTGACACTATGCTTTATGCCTTTGATAGCAGTAGGTATTTTAAAGATATCAACCATAAAATATTCTTTTACATTTTGCCCTCATATATATAATTCCTAATTGTTTATTTCTTCTTCAAGATGATGATCCCATCTGATACTATTTCATTTTATTCTCAAGGATTCCTTTAGCATTTCTTATAGAGCATATTTGCTGGTGGTTGATCTCTTTATGTTGTTATTTTTATTTTAGATTTAGTTTTCACTTCACCCTAATTCTTGAGAGAGACTTCGTTTCAACACTTTAAGTCACTGCACAGATTGTAATGTAATGTGCTGTATTCCTCTAGCTATTTCTGTGTGTTGTCTCTTTAGATTTGTTTGCTGGCAGTTTGACTATAATATGCCTAGGTATTGTTCCCTTTGTATCTCCATTTGTCAGGGTTGGGGTTTATTTTGATTCTTGAGTTTGTAATTTATGTCTTTTGTCAAAGTTCTTATTTTTATTTCATATTTTTTCAATTTTTCTCTTCTCTTCCTGGGACCCTAATTATATCTGTGTTAGAGTTTTTGATATGACCCCACAGATCCTATGTGTACTCTGTGTGTGTGTGTGTGTGTGTGTGTGTGTGTGTGTGTGTATTTCTGAGAAGTGAATTGAGGCCTTTTTATTTGTTTGTAAACAAATTCTCACTGAGTTAAGTTGCCCAGGCTGGGCTCAAACTTGTGACCCTCCTTCCTGAGCTACTCAGACTGCTGGTTTTATAACCATGTGCCACCACGGTTGGCTGGGAACATTTGAAAAAAAATATTTCTTCTACTGGATAATTTCTATTGACTTACATTGAAATTTTCTTGCTTTTAAAAAATAATCTCTAGTTGGTTTTAATTATTTTGTGATTTTAAAAATTCAATATATTGTATTTATTCCTTTACTTCTATTTGGGTCTGCTTATAATTTTTATTTCTTAGCTAAAATGGCCTATGTGTTTATGATGAATATATGTTGCTTTCCATCTTTAAACATAGTTACAATGCTATTTTATAATTCTTTTGTGCCTATTTTTTCAACATCTTGATCTCTCTGAATCAGTTTTTTTTCTTCTACTTTTCTGTCAGCCTAGTGATTTTGGATTATATCTGGAATATTACAAGTGAAAGTGACTCAGGATTCTGTGTTAGAAAAGTACTGATAATTTGCTTTGTCACACAATTAACTTAGCTGAATATGTGACTCTTCAGCATGTAGTGGCAGAAAATAATGTCTGGTCTGTGTAATCTTAACTGACCCACCTGGAATATCTCCCATGTATGTGAGATCAGGGATTGGCTGGAAACGTATGCGGAGTTTCCACGTAGCATTGTGTACTTTACCAGAGAGTCTCTTTTCTAGGCTTTGCAGCCCACTTCTGTGTTTTATTCTTCTTGCTGATGTTGCTTTGTCTGTTAGGGTTGATGAAGGTATAGAGAATACCCTGCTGGTAGGAATATAAATTAGTATGGCTGTGATACACAGTGCCCTTAAAAGTTAAGAAAGGAATACCATGTAATCAAGAAA